GTCATAACAGTGGACAGAACTACCCTAGACCCGATAGGTAAGTGCAAGGTCAATAGGCGATTTTTCTTAATTGTCTATTTATATCTTTATTGGTTATCTATCTACCTATCTGTCTGTCTATCCTATATATCTACTTCGTTTTCTGTACTTATCACTTATTTCTTGTGATTAGTGACTGTTATTAATAATTTCCTTGCTATCCATCAGCTGTGAGTTTATTGTTTATAGCTTTTGTTATATGGTTTAATTTGTCTCTAAAGTAAATGGCACTGATTTATTGGAATCTGAAGTATCACTATGATGATTTCTCTGTCAGTCTCCACTCACTAGAAATCTGTGATAAAGTCATAAAATGATAATGTAAAGGTAGATAGATAGACAGATAAATAATTAAATGTATTAGATCTTTGCAATGCAAAGATATTACAGGGTGACAAATCATTTTCTTCCATCAATTAGTATCATTGATATTTAGATGGTTTTTGATAATTGTCCGTGATATATAGACATTTCTGCAATTATCATCCTCGGTTTTCAGAAATTTCTTATATGCTCATCATCCTTGACCCCAGAGATCGAGCGATGTCGGAGCAGCATCGCCGCTGTGCCACAACTGAACCTGACCCGCCATCACACGTCCCGGCCTCACTACATCGTCCCTGGGGTTGCGGAAAGCACGATCGAGAGGCCAGACCTTCTCGAACGCTCTCCCACCTCCTCGGAAGCTACGTCTAAAAAGTCATACCTGTCCTCCACGCCCTTGCACGAGAAGCCCAAAGTCGCCACGCTGCCCGAGGAGCCAGGCCTGATATCTTCAGCGGGGAATCCGTTGATCTCAGTTCTAACGCCGCTGCTGACGACGCCTTCAACGGTGCTGCTGACTTCCCCTTCGTCCATTGAACCCCTCACGCCCACGTGGTATATCACAAGCCCACCGCCCACTCCCCTTACAGTGCACGCGTCTACAGAATCAGCCGTAAGCGTAAATATACAATATCTTGATTATACAACCAAACCGTATGAGCCAAACAAACCTACGCTGCTTACAAGACAAACGGACAAAGAAAACTTACCCACTCATCTTGCCCTAGAGAAACCCAAGCAGCTAGAGAAAAGACTATCTACAAAACCTACTTTCCTTTCGAAATTGAGCTCGCAGACTTCCACAGATCCACCGACTCAACCTGCACACCTCATCACAAACGCAACCGAGCGAGCTACCAACCACGCATCGCCTCTGCCACTCATACACATAACAGCAACCACGCAACCCGCCTTTTTATATTCTACGATCCCCGCTGCAAGGGGACATAGGTCAGTGAAGCCTGCTGCAGTACGGCCGGCTCTGCAGGAGATGGAGAAGGAGCTGAGCGACTTGCTGAGGGAGCAGATAGCGCTTCTGCTGACAGATGACATTGCTGAGACCCTTTATAAGTGTGAGTTTTCCCAGTAATACGACATGATTATCTCCGCCAATGAGGCTTTTCGTCGTGTTGGTTAGTTTGTTTGTTAGCAGGATAACTCAAAAGTTTATACACAGACCTTTCTACACAGTTTTACCAGAGGGTCTTATCCTAACTTAAATTTCATTAAATTTTGGTGGTGGTCCGGATCGCGATCCGTATTCAGTAATTTTTTGAATTATTACATTACCCCCGCCAAGGAGGCTATGTTTACGGACGTCACCTGTGTACTTGACAAAGAGGTGATTTTAATGTAATTCTTTAAGTATGAATATTTTTATTGCACGTGACCTTGTCTTAGAGGTATGCGCTATAAAAGTAAAATGTATTTGTAAAATGTTAGTTGTAAACAAGAAAAAAAGGATCATCTTTCTCTATTTTAGTCATTAAATTTCTTTCTGACACTTGGACTCAAACATTTAAATATGTGGAAAAGATGTATACATCCATATATAAAGATTTCCTCATTGACATAAAACACATATCTAAGAAGAACACCATTTTCCGATATATAATTTAATCTAACGAATGATCGAACCGCCAGCATACCGGGCCCGCCTCCAGTTCGCCAACCATGAGATGGTGGACAAACTCCTTCAGCAGGAATCCCTCACACCGAGCTACCTTCCCGGGGAATGTCCTATGCGGTATTACGAGCGTAGAAACAATCTGCTGAAGAGGGTGGTGGGCCTCCTCCTGCTGGCCCTTCCGCAGTCCCTTCAGGAGCTGGAGGAGGCAGCCTGGGATGACGACTTGGAAAATAATTTCTTCAGGCCCGGAGGTATTATTCCTGTTATTCATATTATTACTACTTTATTAATGTTATTACTTTATTGATATTATTATTACTACTATTATTACTACTTTTCTTTGCTTGCGAGTGTTTTTATTTCATTTTATATTGTATGTTCGTTTCCCTTTGCCCATTTTAGGTGAGTTACATTCTGATATTATTTTTATGGTGATAATGATTTTGCCAGTGCAAAATTGTTCGTATTAATCCCTCTCATCATCACTACTTCATAAAGATGTGAATATTTTCTATGCCAGGAATGATTAAGTTTGGCACCGCTTGTTATCTGGAAATTGTTATCTTAAATTAACCTCCTGATAGAATAAAGAATATCTTTAGATTTACGATGCCAGTATTGATAACGCCATATATTTTAAAGTTATGTTTTGATACTTATTTTACATATTGTATTCTTATTCCTTGCTTATTTTTCATAATTGGTTAGACAGGATTTTGAAAAAAAAGAAAGGAAAGAAAAAAGAAAAAGAAGAAAGAAGTATATATATCTAGGGTTACGCAAACAGTGTCTCGAACAGTTGGATTTATGTTTAAAATCGGTGTCAGCTATTTTTTTCTAGCTGTCTATAGCAATCAGTAGCTGGTATAACTCAAGGTCTGGGCATATTAAGTAGCTTCCAGATAAAGACCAGAGAGCGCGAGAGTTGACCTAATCATTGGAAGCTGTCTCCTCGATTTACCTAAAAATCAAACAATAATAACACCACATTTCACAGCGTTAACACCACTGTCTCGTCAGCTTCCATGCACATTTTTCATATGCCTGATCACGATATTTGCCAACTGAGTAGGCCTTCTGATTTTTTAGATGTCACCATCTTATCTCCATCCTAAATTGATCACATTTAGGTGAGACTTCGAAAATCAGAGACAATAAGCTTTTTGATCTATATTTGGGCCTCGAATGCAACAAATATCCCTTTAGATCTTTCTCACATTGAGTATAGACTTTGGTGTTGAAGCTCTGGTTAAGTGGAACCATTTGGTCTGTCAATACTCGAGAAATAGTTTTTAGTAAATTCCTTAATATACCGCTTAGAACGTGCAAGTCTTTCTGTTGGAGGCTTGATGGTGATGCTACATAGTTATATTTTCTAAATGTTTCTTTCACTTCAATCTCATATTTGTATTTGTGCAACAAGTAACCATACCACGAGCTTTCTGGTTCCTCTGGAATACCTGACCTATGACATTTGAATTCAGAACAGCACTATCCTTGAAAAGCTTAAATTTCCCAAAACTCCGGTAGCGAAGTCTTGTTAGTTAATTTTCATCAAAGAAAGTATCTGCAGTTTACTTTTCTTCTCTAAATCGTCTTGATGTAATACTTTGCGGGGAATGAACAGAGTAGGCAAAACTATTTCCTTAAATGATTTTCCTGTTCTGAAATTTCATCTTCACATTTTCTGTATGAGGTCAGTTCCTTTTATGGCGAAGTACCGAATCCACCTTTAATTCTGTCATTCGAGGAAATGGATCGACAAGGAATATTTGTGCAGTCATGGCAAAATCCTTCATTTCTTCCCGGGTTGAGACATTTTAAATTAAATCAATTTGTTAGATTATAATCAATAACGTGTAAACAAATATATATATTTGATGGTAATCACATTTTCAGAGAACACCAAAAGATTGTGTTAAAGTGTAACAAGGCAACAGTTGTTAAGAGGCCTATGGAAATATACATTTGCTACCTGCCGTGTTGACCTATTCACCAGCTATGTTGGATGAACCACCATGAGTATCTTTGCCACCACAGTCATAAATATAGTTTTATGTTTCATATCAAGGTTCTTTCATTCTTGATAATCATATAAAAATATCAAGATCATTCCGTGTTTACTAATCTCCACCATTTTTCTGCACGACATTCATGGTTTATCTCTAATTAATCCTTGGCTCCATCCTTCTGTACAGAAAAGAACATCCTGGACGTCCCAGAATGCAGAGAGTGCTACACGAAGGACAGTCTTGGAAATTGTCGAGAGATTTTCTTCTGCAAAGCCGGCTCCTCTGCTGACGTCAGGACTGGCTTGTCTCCTGAGGACTTGAAGCGGCTTCTGGCTCTTGGTTGAGTCTGTGTGTGTGTGCTTGTATGACTGTGTGCGAGAGAAAGAAAGATATATATATATATATATATATTATTATATATATATATATATATAGAGAGAGAGAGAGAGAGAGAGAGAGAGAGGAGTATGTTTTGTGTGTGTGTTGTGTGTATTTGTGTGTGTATGTGTGTTGTGTTCGTGTGTGTAGTGTGTGTACGTGGAAAGGTTTCATTTTTTTATATGAAATGAAAGGATTTTTAAACGTTTATTTTCTGAGTGAAATATTTAATGTCATCACACAATCTACATCAAGTATCATAAATCCATTTAGATTTCTCTTCGTTTTTGATACATTTGAAGCAAATAATATGTGTCATTCGTTGTAAAGAGATTTCAGTTTATAGTAAGACAAATTTACATAGACCTCTGTATTTTAAGTACAGTGCGATTCAGTGACTGTACCACTTTTATGAGTACATTAACTTCATTTATATTTCTTTATCCATTTCTGAGAAACGTCCTCATATTTAAATGTGTAAAAATAAAACAAGGAAAGTGGCCAAATACTTATTTTAAAACAATAGCCAATTTCCTTTTTTTATCCTTTTTGTGGGAAATTCGCCCGCCCCGGACACGTCAAAAATAAGGAAATACCTTATATCTAATTCAGCAATATTCACCTAAATAGTGAAGAAAACGGGTGTTTATGTATATAAATGTTTTAATAAGCACACAGTAAAGCTATATAACGCTCGTACTTCTTCACCGTATTATTCTTTTATTTTCATCAATTCAAATGCAGCATGTTGATAAAGGATAAAGAAACACCACCATAGTTCACAAATATTTAGTTCACAGCAACAGCACACTGACAAACATGGATGACTGCTGTACAGTAGTCAACATATTTATTTTCTATTTTAACATTTACTGGTCTCTAACACTTTTTTTTCGCGATGTTCTATCTCCTCAAATTATATTGTTTATGGCTGCTTTATCGGATTAGCGGCCTCTGTCAAATAATGGACGATATTTTACAGATCTTGTGACAAATGTTGAAAAACGATAGTCTTAATGGAACGAATAATTTGACAATGCAAGATATTTGATTCACATTTTGAGTTACATCGTGAGCATTACGAAATTAAGTGTGTAAATAATACCATTTTCGCATTCTATAAATTGCAATGCATGAATTCAACGACTATTATCCTGGCATATTTTACGAAGTTATTCTTGTCAGTTTAGAGGCTAATTGCAGTACGCGATGGTAAAGGCATTTTAGTAAGGAAAATATATTGTTTCCAAAATACAGTTCATGGCTTAGGTACCTCTCGAAAATAATCATAAAATCAAGGACGGGGCACTAAATGACAAAAATCGTGATATTTGACTTTCTCACAATTTTCCATCCAGAGGCCGCTAAACTAATACATAGAACAACTCACTTCTCTCACAACCTAAAAATATATTCTTACTTTTTTTACACTAAAGACTTATATATTCATCAAGAATTATGTGCATCACAGTATAAAACAAGGTTCCTTTAACGGAAAAATAGCATTCAAAGAAAACTTTGCTCGAAGGACATACTTTAGTAAGGGGATCATTGACAGCAGATACATACACACTTATTTAGTGTTTTTTTTTCATGTGGATTATACTGATTCTTCACACTTTTTCAGTAAGGAAGACGTGCGGACATTGACATATCAGAACCTAAATACCTATGAAATCACTTTGATTTTAATTTTGTAAAATGAAAATTTTGCACCTACACTTAGATGATAAGGCATATTCACTCCTATAGTTTCGTCTCTTACATTCCAACAAACACACCGATTAAATTGAAAACTGTCAAGACGAAGAGTGTATTTTATCTCCGTTGTTGTCTATATGGTAAATTCAAAAGACCACATGGATAAATCTATACATCCTCGCCATAGTGGAAAGGGTCTCAATTATTCCTGTGGATGAGTGGAACATACTGGCCTTGACCACTCTTGTCAATTCCTGTGTGGATAACAGACTACAGACCAGAGCGAAGATGGTCGAGGTTTACCGCGGAAAGATTTTATTTTTTGATTGATTCGAGATCAAACTCTCCGAACACGCCTTTCTTCTCGGTAAAATCAGGCGCCAAAATCAAATATTCGCGGTCCATTCTAAATTTACGCGCGGGAAAAGGATCGATGGGTTTAAATGGAAGACCTTCTAGTACTACCTCATGACTACTCTTTGTGGACGTGAATAACAATGAAGTATTAATGTGTTTGGAAAGTCATAACTGTCGGCTTGGAAGACCATGTGTTCTGACTCCGTTGTTTCACGCAGAACAGGTACAAACGCACAAAGATGCCAAAACTACGTGACTCGTTACTACGAACTGGCCTTATCTGGAAGAACTGTTACGGGAGACTCGAAATTTCAACACACTAACCTCTGGCTAATTGTAATAAATGGGAGAACTCCAAGATCCTGGAGTCTGGAAGAGCATATTAGGTATAACTTGGTGTTTCTGTATGGAAGATCTATACGTTTTGTCCGTTTCGGTGGAGCACTTGCGTTTTGGTCGTAAAATATTGTGGTTTTATACATGACACGTCGTTCAATTAGCGCAAAATACAGTAAGGAAAAAATCGTCAGCTAGATGGTTATATATATATATATTATAATTATATTATATATATATATATATATATATATGTATATATTATATTATATATATATATTATATATATATATATATTATATATTATATATATATATATATAGGGGACTTATGATAGGAACTAAAGTAAGAAAAAAGTCATAATAATACCAGTGAAAGCGACGTCTACAATGATTATAGTAATACTATATAATTCACTATTAAAGTACTGCTTATAATGATAATTATGAAATATATATAACAATAATGCGCGAAGATATAAAACCCATAACATATTTAATGCTACCAAAATTGCCTACAATAATAATAATAATCATATTCATAATGATAATGATCATATTGATAATATAATAATCATAATAATAATATATGATAATATAATAATAGTAATAATGATAATTATGTAAAAATGATAACAGTAATGATACAGATATTAACATTTACAAGATTCATAGTCTGGTGCTTTTCTGGGCTGACATAGATAATATAACCATGGCAACTAAGGAAACTAATGTTCCTATTATTTGTATTAGCAGAGTACAATTAATGAAAGTTATTTGTAGGAAGAAGAAAAAAATACATGTCTAGTATATGTGTCCAGCATTTGTCTTTATGCCCGGTGTGATAGGACTTATATGGCTTGTTATTATTAGTTCTTTCTCGGCACAAGACATCAGAGATATATACTCCTTTAGGCTGGAGTCTCGTAGTTGGAATATGCACACGAAAGGCATTATGATACATCGTTCAAGTTACATTTCAGACGGTTGATCACTTTGCCTGAATAAGTAGTTATTTCGGCTAAGCGACCACCATTCGAATTCAGTATCTTTCAGGTATTACTCACTTTGCTATGTCAGAGAAAAAACGTATTATTTTCGGTTACGCGAGGTGACAGTAAACAACGTCCCTACATTAGTTTTCAACCACCTTTGAAGGACTATTACCGTCATCAGTATTTAGACTGTTCAACTCCTCTCAGTTGGATCAGTGAATGGGATAGGATCCCACTGAAATATAGATACTGCATCTATATAGGTTTTTAATTTATAAGGAAAAAACTTACTTGTTCTATATGTGATTGTAACGTATCTGATTAGACCATGTTAATAGTTTTCCTTATTAGATTTTCATGAAATACGAAAGTCGAGTAACTTTGGCAGTGTCAGTTGGAGTTTTAGCGGTGCAACATGCAGCATAATAATGCTAACAATGATACTCATATTAATCACGATAATAATAATAATAATAATAATAATATTGACAACAGTAATAATGATGACAACATTGATAATGACAATGATAATAGTAATGACAGTAATAATAATAATAATGATAATAAAAGCAATGATAATGATAATGTGAATGTGAATGATGATGATAATCATGCTAAAATAATAATAACAACAACAGCAATAATAATAAATAACAAGAATGATATTAATATTAATGATAACAAAGATAACTACAATGTAAATAGTGATGATAACAATGACAATACTAGTGTGTAATACTAACAGCATTATTAGTAACAATATCAACAACACCAGTAACGATGATGATTATAATAATAATAATAATAAATAATAATATAATATAGTAACGGTGTTAATAATAACGATAATAATAATCAATAATGATGTGTCAGTAATAACAATAATAATTGATAAAATAACAATGATAATAATGATAGCGGTGATGATAATAATAATGATAATATTAATGATAATAATAATAACAAAATATAATAATGATTTAGTAATGATGATAATCATAATAAGAGCAGTACGATAACAACAACGAATATAAAAATAATAACAATGAAAATAGAGATCCTCGCCTTGTCATGTTGCTTATGCTGTCATCTATGGGAATAATTTCCATGTAGAAAAGGTATGACTGAGAACGAATATCTTCATAATACAAGAAATGTATTTAGCCGGTTTATCTTCGTTATATACATTTATTTCTGACGAAGATACATTCAAAACCGGTCAAATACATCTTTGTAGTGTGAAGATATTCATTCTCATTCATACTTTTTTCTGTATTTGTCAACAAGAATACGAGTACATTAATTTCCAACTGTATCAGTGGTTCCCAACCGGGGAGTAGCGAAGCTTTAGGGAATATTGTATCTCACTTTACTATGTCTATTTCAGTGCTCATATTAAGTATATAGTATGAAAGTAGGTCTTCAAGGGATATAGTAGTATAATTGGGGAAATAAAGATTGATTTTTTCTTCTTCCTATTTCCTCCTAAAATTATACAACTAGAAATTTATGTCGGAGGGTCGAGGTTATGTCGAAATTTTGGAAAAGGGATCATGAGTGTAAAAAAGGGGCTGGGAACCACTGGTCTGACTAAAGGAAGATCAATTCCCTTCAGCTTCAGGTAGGAAAATAATG